ATTACCATCTGGGGTCACTTGCTTTCAATCTGAAGAACTTAGGTATTTCTTGTAAGTTGGTTCTGCTAGCAACAAATTCTCTCAGAGTTTATCCAAGAAAGTCTATTCTGCCTTTGTTTTTGAAAGACAGCTTTGCTGAATATAGGACTCTTGGTTGAGAGGCTTTTTATTTCTTTCTTTCAGTACTTTTGATATTATCCCACCACCTCTGGCCTCCAGAGCTTCTTCAGGAAAGTCAGCTGTTAATCTTTCTGAGGTTCCCTTGTAAGTTATATAAATTTTTCTCTTGCTGCTTTCAAGATTTTCTCCTTGTCTTTTGGTTTCAGCCTATTTAAGATGATGTGTCTGTTTGTGGGTCTCTTTCCATTTATCCTACTTAGAATTTGTTGTGCTTCCTAGATATGTAAATTTTTATTTCTCAGTAAGTTTTGGAAGTTTTCAACTATTATTTCTTTGAATTTTTTTTTTCTTCTTTCTCTCTCTTCTCTTTCTGCTACTCCCATTATACATATGTTGGTGCAGTTAATGGTGCTCCTCCATTTGCTCCTGGCTGGGAAAGGAAGTCTCTGCCTGGTACCCCCTTCCAGGAAATCCTTCCACCTAATGATAATGGTGCTGGGGGACTGTTCCTTATTATTCTGAGGCTGTGTTCATTTTTTTTCATTCTTTTTTTCATTGTGTTCTTCAGTTTGCATAATCTCTATCAATCTCTTCAAGTATGCTGGGATTTTTTCCTGCCAATTCAAATCTACTGTTGAGACCCTCTAGTGAATTTTTTATTTTAGTTACTGTACTCTTCAATTCTAGAACTTCCATTTTCAAAAAATAATTACTATCTATCTATTGATGTTCTCTATTTGCTGCAACTTGTGTTAAAAAACAAAATTCAACAGAGTAAAACTGAAGATCCATTTGCCTTTATTAAATAATTCATGAATCGGACAGCATCCCACGTATCAAGTAGAAATGTGCTCTGAGAAGCTGCACAAATTGTGAAGTTTTTATACGTAGAAAGAGGGTATGACAAAGAAGTAAAAGAACAGATTGTTTCAGGCAAGGTTACATTCCCTTAGGGAAAGGCAGGGATCTTAGGGAGTTTACCTCACTAATACTAACCAGGAAATTCCAGACTGATTGGTTTAAAATCCACTCCTGGGAGAGGCTGAGACTGCAGTTAGGTCAGGTATTACGTCTTACTGGGGCTTAATACAAGTGTCTCCATTTGGGGCTTTTTTTTTTTTTTTTTAACAATTCTCTTTTGATCTCTCCCTGAGATATGTAATCAAAATTTAAGGCAGTAGCACCACTCTCAATTATACCACTCTATGGTTCTCACAACTTTCGTTGATCCTTGATTTTTGCTTTTTGGGTTTTTTGTTTTTTTTTTTCTGAACATCTGTGGTATTCACAGGTCACGACTTCAGGTTCACATTTTTTAAGTAGGTCACTTCCTCCATTTCTTTTTCAGTGTTCCAATCTGAGGGAGGTCATTTGCTTGGTGGCTAGTGACTACAAACATGCATTTAAAGCTTTTGAGAGGGCACAGCACACCAGAGAGGTTATTATGATTATTGTAAGTAGGATAATTCTCAATGTTCATAAAGCATTTGGAGCTATGGTCCCCATGACCCAAACCAATCAAAATCAAATAAGTTAAAAAAAGACCCCACTGGACTTCCCTGGTGGCACAGTGGTTGAGAGTCCACCTGCCGATGCAGGGGACACGGGTTCGTGCCCCGGTCCGGGAAGATCCCACATGCTGCGGAGTGGCTGGGCCCATGAGCCATGGCCGCTGAGCCTGTGCGTCCGGAGCCTGTGCTCTGCAACGGGAGAGGCCACAACAGTGAGAGGCCCGCGTACCACACACACACACACAAAAGACCCCATTGAAGGGTCTTTTTAAGCCAAATGGCTTGTTCAGTGATTTATGTGACTGAGCTTCCGCTTCCCCAGAAGTGTCAATCCAGGTGCAGCAGGTGGTGTAGGCCACAGCACACACATCTCCTTGCTCAGCTTAAAGATAATCCAACTTTGGTTAGGGAGTGTAAGGCTCTTTGCCGGGCAGCCAGTATCTTAGCAATTGAATCTGCAGTGTCTCCAAGAATTAGGAATGGTTTCTAATCATACTCTCATTTGTGTTTACTTCCACGTAAGGGGTTAGTCAGGTTTTTAGCACAAATGGGAAGAGGATCTTCTAGTCTGAAATAAAAAGTTGTTCTAAATTCCAGAGGTTACTCCCTTTAGCAGTGGTCTGGGAGGTATGGGTGATGGCATTATCTTTCCAGGCCAATGCCAGAGTAAAGGAAAGAAAGGGAAGAAGAGAAGTATTAAGTCTTGATTCAGCATCTTGGGTGGAAGCAGATTTCATTGATGCTGACATATTTTACAATAGAGATAACCTGAATTTGACTAGCAAGCCCAGGTAGAATAAAAGTTGTTTATCTGCATTATAGTCAGTGTTGATAACTCTAAAAACATGTCTGTTTTAATTAAGCCAACGAACTTAAACTAGCTTTAATACTGAATGTTTTCTCGGACCACATGAACCTGAAAAGCATTTGGGTTAGTTTATATTTCTGAGAGTTTTTAGAATAACCAACCCATAATTTATATAAGTTCTTGTTTGTTTTTAAAGCAACTGAATAGAGCTCTTTTACAAATTAATTTTAGTAATATCATCCAGAGGTAGGAAATAACACACATCAACCACACATGTATATAGAAACAGGAACATATTATACAAATGCAAACAGAGACCTCATAGCTTCGTTTTAAAATTTTAGTTACAAGACAGGTATGATGATGTGAAAATCACTATTTACAAAAAAACAGTTGGAATAAGTTAAGTTCTTCTGTTCAGATAGCTAAAGCTTTTTCTGCTAATATTTATGGAGAAGACCCACGATTTTTCATTTATCTAAATTCAAATGACCTTTCCCCCTTTCATTCTCTTGATTAGAATTACCTCTCTGAAGATTGTACTTTAAAGAAATGGCCTAGATAAGAGTTAATATTTACAGCTCAAAGGCACAGGAAAAGAATGCAGGTTCCTTCAAGGACTTTGGTTTCTTAAGGCCAATATTGAAAAGTTTTTTGAGATGAATAAGGGAGGTTTGAGGATTGGTTAACAAGGATTGGTGGTTTCTGGAAGCACACCTCTGATCCTGGAAAGACTAGACTTGTAAAACAAGGACAGCTGTTTTTACTTTCTCGTAGAACTGTATTGCTGCCTAAATGATATCAAAGGACTGTCAGACCCATCCACCTATGTTGGAATATTTTTCTTCCTCTCTTGGTACAATTAGCTTAGGGGAGAAGGCTTTAAGAAAAGTACTAACAGGCTGGGAACGTCGGCTTCCAATCTGGCCAAATTTCTGATCATAGAGTTATTAAATCCTTTCAAATATCTTGTCAGGTTTCAGCTGGAACAAAGAGTAAACATTTCTGGCCGTACTGAATTGGATTTAGGAGGTGTTCTTAAAGAGGGTGCAGAAGATATTATCCTCACAAGATCTTAGAGCCACTCCCAAAAATAGCCAAAAGGAAGACTTAGATAATGACCAACAGTTGTCCCTGGGAGAGAAAGAATCAATAACCAGTGTGTCTGGATTTGGGCAGGAGGGGACATGAAATTTTACTTTCCTCTCTCAACTGGTCACTACAGACAGGGATTACCAGGATGAGCACTCAAATAAAAGAGGATAGAGGGGAGCAATAGAAATTACATCAGTCTTGGAAATTCCCTGGGGTCCAGTGGTTAGGACTCTGTTCTCTCACTGCTGAGGGCCTGGGTTCGCTCCCTGGTCAGGGAACTAAGATCCCACAAGCTTTGCAATGCGGCCCAAAAAAAAAAAAAAAAACAGACAGACAGAAAGAAATTATGTCAGTCTTACTATTTTCATCTTGTTTTGTTTTTAGGTACCTCTTGTGTCTTTAATTTTTAACTAGCATTTTTCAATAAATATTTTAATGAAGCTACTTCGTAATTTTGAAGGCTTTTGGAGGCTTCTGCAAACCAATTAAAATAAGTTATCCTGTTCTGTTTGTTTGATATGGGAACACTTACTTTTTTTTATAGGACATTAGGATTATATTTTATGATTTTTTAAACAGATATTAATGTGAGAGATATTGACAACTAGAATCCATGGCTAAAAGGGAAGTATGTAGGGCTTCCCTGGTGGCGCAGTGGTTGAGAGCCCGCCTGCCGACGCAGGGGACACGGGTTCGTGCCCTGGTCTGGGAAGATCCCACATGCCGCTGGACCTGTGAGCCATGGCCGCTGAGCCTGCACGTCTGGAGCCTGTGCTCCGCAACAGGAGAGGCCACAACAGTGAGAGGCCACAACAGTGAGAGGCCCGCGTACCGCAAAAAAAAAAAAGGAAGTATATAAAGTGTTAGAATAATAGTCACATGGAAATCATATAGTATACTTTCTTAAATTGAAAAAAAGAAGTGAAAGACAAAGATGTAAGAGTTAAATTATATAATTGATATAAAATAATTTGTTGTATTTTCTATCCTACACTTGATTATTTTTGTATGACTTTTATAGATGCAGTCCTTCTAATAGTTTATAGTTGACTCTCACAGAATTCTATGGGATGGAACTAATCATATTCCTTGCTACCTTCCCACTCCTTCCTTTGCAACCTATATTTAATATTCCATGGATATACAATTATATATATTTTTAGTTTTTAGTTTTCCATTATGGTTTATTACAGGATATTGAATACCCTGTGCTGTACAGTAGAACCTTGTTGTTTATCTGTTTTATATGTAGTAGTTTATATCTCCTAATCCCAAACTCCTAATTTATCCCTCCCCCACCCCCTTTACCCTTTGGTAACTGTAAGTTTGTTTTCTATCTGTCTGTGAGTCTGTTTCTGTTTTATAAATAAGTTCATTTGTGTCATATTTTAGATTCCACATATAAGTGATATACAGTATGTGTCTTTTACTTTCTGACTTACTTCATTTAGTGTGATAATCTCTAGATCCATCCATGTTGCTGCAAATGGCATTATTTCATTCTTTTTCATGGCTGAGTAGTGGTCCACATACACAATGGAATACTTCCCATGGTGCGGGGGCTGGGGGGGGTGGCGGCTAAATCTCACTGCACCAAATTGTGTCCCCCGACACTCCCTGAACTTCGGGTAGTAAGTGTTAATTTCAGCTGCCATCACCACTGTGGCCTTAAGAAATATGGATCCCTTTTGCATACCAGAACTCAGTGAAGACACTCTACTCTTCCCTGCAGTACAGCTGAAACCAGGATAGCTGGTTCAAATAAGACTCTACGGAAAACTTAAAAGAGAAATGGACTCAGAAGAAGCATGGCACATGGCTGGCTGACACAGGCTAGATCTGCCCAGGCTGCTGCTACCTAGAGGCACTCACCACTTGGGATCATACAACACCTTCTCAAAGTCCTGACTCCAGAGAGCAGGGGTGCTCCCTTCTGCCTAGCTGGCCTTCTGCTCAGTTTCAGGTCCCTACTCATTCTTCCACAGGCCCTCCCCGGGCACCTAGCCTGCAGCAGATGCTCTGCACACACTGGGGATACAGTGGTGGTACAGAGCTGCTGCCCACACAGTGCACGGTCTATGGGAGGCAGCCAACAGATAACCAAGCCACTGACAGATGGCAGTAAGTGCTGGAAAGGAATAACTGAAGTCTCACTGAGGAGGCAACATTTACTGAGATCTGAAGTTTGGGGAGCCAATGCCTTGCAAAACAAAGAGAACATTCCAGGTAAAAAGAACACTAAGTGCAAAGGCCCTGAGACAGGAAGGAGAGACAGCAAGACAGCCACCGTGGCTGGAGTGGAAAGACCAAGGGAAAGGGAGCACTGACAGGAGGTGGAGAACAGGGCAGCCAACACACAGGGTCTTGTGGGTCTTGCTAACTGCGAGAGAAGCTTCTGAAGGGTTTGAATCAGTAGCAGGACATGGTATGATTTATATTTTAATTTAGAGCTCCCTCTCTGGCTGCTCTGTGGAACAAGTCAAGAGACTGAAGCTGTCTTCCAAACACAGTATGGTAGTGGTGCAGTAAAGTGAAAGAAATGGACACCGTGCACACTTATTTTGGAGGGAGAACCCACAGACTTGCTGATGGATGGGGAGGGTGTCTCCTGATCTGTGACTCATCCCCCAACAGCAATTCTTCCTACTCCCAAGGGCCAGGTTCACAGGCCTCAACAGGACAACCGGACGAGAACACAGACGGTGACTCTCCTTGCTGAAAGCCTGCACTCAGGAGCGAGGGGGTGTCGGAGGACAGCTGTTCTTCCCTCCCAAGGACAGCGAAGAATGGAGGCATGGGTGGGAAGTGTGCATACCAGGTACGGAATGGTCAGGAAGGATCCCCAGAGGAGTAAGCTGAGGGGGGCCTTCAAGGTGCAGATTTGGCGGAGTCACCCTGCAATGCCCGTCAACGGAACCTCCAACACACTAGTATTGCCTTATGCTTGTACAGAGCTTTGTACTTTGTACATAAACGCTGGCATGCCATTGTCCCAGCCCCCTGAGTTGTTATGAGGAGATCTGCACAGGGCCTGCAAGGAGAGGAGATGATATTGAGGCAGGGTCCCTTATGATGCAGAGCTAGGAGCACACATGGTTTAGGGAAGGAGACGGGCTACAGGAACTGGACCCCAAATGGAGGGAAGAGGAGAGAATGACCACTGTTCCAGCATCCATCCTACACCAGCTGGTGTGCTGGGGCGTGGCAAGGACCTCTCATTTCATCCTCACCATCGTTAATACAACGAGCTGCCTAAGGCTTGGAGGAGTGGTGATGCTGGGGATGGGGGCGATCAGCAGCCCTGCTTAGCCCTCGTCAGTCCTTACTGGGACTTCCTGTCACACTGCTCACTGATTATCGCACTTGTTTGGAGCAGTGGCGGTACCTCACCCTCCCTCTAGGCACACTCCAAGAACCTACAGAATGCTCACGGGTGGCTGGGAGCGTCGGAGGAAAAGGCAACTCTCTTCCCTAATCCCTGCCCCCCTCCCCCGCATCGACAACAAAATGTGAAAAACCCTAGAATCCTTGGAGCTACGTCAAGGCTCCCATTTTCGATCGTGCCTGTCACTGGATTTTCCCAGACACTTCCTAAAATCATTTGGCGTGGACCGTTCCTCTACTTTTGATGGCTTCTTAATCAGAAGTATGCAGAGCACCGCCGGCATACTCCTGCTGGCCGGCTGTCCCGAGGGTCGCGGGCGCCGAGTGTTCCCAGCGCACAGCCCCCGAGGCAGGCCCGGGGAGGAGGGGCGCGTCCCGACCAAGCGCGCTCCCCGACCCGGCTCGCAGGGCTGAGCGTGACCTCCCGCCTACACTCCTGCCCCAGACGGGCAAGGACGCGCAGTCTGAGCTGGGTCCTAGAAGGAAAAAGTGAGCGCCCGCCGGTTCTACTCACTGTCGTGCCTGCGGGGTGCCGGCCGCCTCCCTCCGAGGATGCGCCCGTCCTAACATACGCGCGCCAAGGCCGGCAGCAGGGCGCGGCCCTGCGGGCACCGATAGCTGCCCAGGGCCCCGCGCGCCGCGCCTCCCGCCACCGCCCCAGGTCTGCGTGCGCGCGTGCGTGAGCGCGTGCCGACCGGGCCCGCGACCCACACCGGGGTCGGCGCCGCGGCACAGCGCCCGCGGGGCGGCCGGGAGCTGGCGGCGAGCGGAGGCGCCGCGTCCTGCCCGGTGGGCGCCTGGCCTTGCCCGAGGCCCGCGCGCCCCGCGCCCGCTGAGGGTCCCCGCCGCCGCAGCCACAGAGCCCGAGCGGTTGGCGGCGGCCGGGAGCCTCCTTAGCGGAGCCCCATGATGTCAGCTGGCCCGGAGCGGCGGCCGTGCGGCGGCGGGGATGGGGCCGAGGACGCCGCGCGGCCGTCTGCACGCCCCTCGCCCGGTCCGGGCCCCGGCTCGCTGGCCCCGTCGCCCGGCAGCCCCGCCGCCGCCGCGGCCCAGCCGCCCGCGAACCTGTGGCTGGAGCTCGGGCCCGCCTGCTCGAGGGCGCAGCAATGCCCGAGCGAGTCGAGCGGGCAGACGAGCGGGGACCTCGGCACCAGCAGCAGCAGCGGCGGCGGCAGTAGCGCCGGGCTGTCCCCGGGCTCCGACTCGGACAGCAGCGGCGTGGTGTGCGGCGGCCGCGGCGGCAGCGGGGGCATGCGCGGCGCCCTGTCCCGCTCCTGGAGCCTGGAGAGCCTGCGCTCGGCCACCGCCGGTAAGGGCGCCGCCGTCACCCCGCGCGCCGCCGCTCCCTGCGTCTGTCCGTCTCGAGCGCCTTCTCTCCATCCCTCTCGAGACGGTCTCTCCTCCTGTCCTTTCCTCCTGCACTTTTTCTGTTGCTTGTTTCCATCTTTTGGTTCCTGGCTTCCTATTGCTTTGCTCTTCCGATTCCTTCTCTCTTTCCGGGTTTTCTTCCGATTTCCCACCACCCCCGTCCCGTTTTCACCCACTTCTACCTGTTACAGCCGAGCCCTGGTCGGCCCCCTCCCCCCTCGTAGCCGGGCGCGTCCTCAACTGGGAAACTGAGTGTTTACGGTGAGAACAGAATGTGGTCCCTTGATGCACCGTTTCCCTTCCCCAGACTGTTCTTGACCGATGGCACAGGTCTGGCTTTCCGAACTGCAGCTCCTTGAGTTCTGTAAATCAGAGGAGAAAGGAGCGGGCTCACTAGCCAAGGGTGGACCGGATTCAGTGTGTTTGGTCCTGACTCTAGGACTGAGGCTCCCTGCAAGAGGAGGGGCTCTAGAGGTCCCTTCAGAGGGACCCTCTGAAACAGTGCGGTTTCCGTGAGATGGGATTGCTCTGATGTCCCCTGGCACTGTGTGCCCCCCCGCTTAGGGCTCCCCTTCTGCCCCAGGGACCGAATTCTGGGTGCAAATTGATAGGAAGACTTTGACCCTAAATATTAATTAGCAAGGAAGCCCAGAGTGGTGACCCTTGATTAGTTGCTAAACTGCAGTCTTTATATTTTACTTCTTGAAAACCTTCAAGTTATTTTTGAGCCCCTGTAATGAGAGCTGTAAAGGAAGACAGGTGCTGCCTGGGAATCAGGGAGGTAGTTCACCCATTATGCTTCTGGTTGGGGGTGGGGATGCTGCCTGTGAAAGCCGTAGAGCCCCAGGTAGGCAGTGGAGATGAGGGTCTGCATGTGCCCGGGTCAGAGCAGCAAAGCCAGAGAGGAGCAGGGGGGCCATGCAGGCAGCAGGGTTGTCTTGTCGCATTCCGTCCGCTGTAGTTGTCCTGTCCGCGCCCGCACCTCTCCAGGATGGAGCACAGGCTAGGCTGAGGAGGACCAGAGGTCGGCTCTGTGGGTGTAAGAGTACCAGGAATGGCAGATAAAGAGTTTGGACTCTGCTCTAAACTCCATGGGTTTGGAAAAGGAAAGTGAAGGACGCCCAGACCCCTGCATTGAGCACTCCATGACCCTCATCTGTCCTGTCTCAAAACAAACACATGAAACTCAGAAGAGTTGAGTAACCCAGCTGTTGGTGTATCCTCCAACTAAAAGTTTTTCAGAATTCTGCCACTCTGAGTCCCTCCCATCCCAGTTCCCTTGAAACTTGCCTTTCCCTCCTCTCTGGGGTGCTTAAATAGCCCTAATTCGAGAAAAACAAACTAGATAATAGCGATGGGGGACTTCAAGCAAACTGGCCAAGGAGCCTTCCTTCTCTTTGCCTAAATGAGTTGCCTTCCACTTCTAGAGTCGGAGGGCGTACCTGCTCCACGTCAGCACTGGCAAACCGGTTCAAAGAGGCTGTGGGAGGTGGCCCTGGTGCCTCCCTGGACTCCCTTGCCATTTCTTCCTTCTGCCCCGGGGCAGGGGTAAGCCAGATGGATACGGCAGAGGCCTGGGTTTATTAGGCACCCCTGCGATCCAGGGACTCTCCAGAGCAGACTGGGGGGACTGAGGCAGCGTGGATGAGTTTGAGAGATAGCAGCTGTATGTGCATGAACGTGTGGGGCAGGTGTGTATGTGGGTGGGGTGGGGGTGAGGGCAGGCAAGGTGAAAGCTAAGGCCCAGAAGGCTTCTCCTTGAGGGGCTCAGAGCTGCCCTTGCAGTGGCAGGGCAGGGTTTAAAGCAATATGATGTTGGAAGAGTTGACCTGAGAACCCTCAGACCTCGACTTTCTGCCTTTTTTGGGAGGCTCTCCGTGGGTAGTGTGGTATGAGGGTATGAAGGTATGAAAGGGTACATGAACCCTGTACCCTTGAGGTATGAAGGGGTACATGAACCCTGTACAGCTGTGTGAGTGCATGGAGCCATCTCTCAACTGAATTCCTGGAGAGAATTAAGTCCTGATGTCCTGAGGCCTCCATTATATATAATGAGTGAATCCTCTTCTCTTCTGGAATGGTACTAGCTATTTGCCATCCTTGGGAGGAACTGAGAAAATAAGCATTCAAATAATTTTCTTTGGATTTGTGGTTCAGTTGAGGAAGTCTTGTTGGAAAGGCTGCCATAGAGGAGGACTTGATAGGAAAAAGAAAGGGAAGGTGCATTTGTCGAGCATCTTCTATATATGCCAGGTGTGAGGCTCCATGTTACTTCATTAACCACAGAAAAATCTACTGCTATACTACAATCCAGGTATGAAAAGAGGCTCAGAGAGATGCAGTAACTTACCCAAGGTTGCCCAGCTGGGTCATGTCTGACTAGAGCTTCAGGCCTGAATTGGTGTGACTTTAGGGGGGGCTCTTTGCTGGGTTTGGAGTGGAAGCTGGGCCAGGCCCAGCAGGGAAAGGCAGCATACTGGGGGGATTCACACATTGAAGTAATGTCTTAGCTACTTGCATGGTCACTGTTGTCTTTATTCAACAGACAGGGCTTTTATTCTGGGTCCCAGGTACCCCATTTTCAAAATGAGGACATGGAAATCTAAGGTCTGACCTCTTTTCTAATCAACTCTAGAATTCCACGATCCTAGTCAGGGCTGTTGAATTAAGGTGGGTTCCCACTAGTGAGCTGGCATTTATTTCATATTGTATTTCCATTTGACTGGTCTGTGGCTCTAAGACAAAACATATGTGTGTTGAATTGAGCTGTGTTTGCCTCTGAAGGAAGATTAAGAATTACCAGTAAAAGATCCTTAGCAAAACTTAATTATTGTGGTTGTGATGTTTGTGATGAAGTGTATTGCTAAACATTTTAAAAGCTGTCAGCAAGAGCCAGAAAGGTTAGTACTTGAGGCTGGAATTACAGCTAACCTGCCGGGCAGAACATTAGCCAGGAAATCCAGCACAGAACTGTCAGTAGACCTTCCTTGTTTCCAAAGACTGTTTGTTTGTTTGTTTTGTTTATTTTTGGTTGCGTTGGGTCTTCGCTGCTGCACGCGGGCTTTCTCTAGTTGCAGCGAGCGGCGGCTACCCTTCGTTGCGGTACACGGGCTTCTCATTGCGGTAGCTTCTCTTGTCGCAGAGCACGGGCTCTAGGCGCGCGGGCTTCAGTAGTTGTGGCTCACGGGCTATAGAGCACAGGCTCAGTAGTTGTGGCACAGGGGCTTAGTTGCTTCGCAGCATGTGGGATCTTCCCAGACCAGGGATCGAACCCGTGTCCCCTGCATTGGCAGGCAGATCCTTAACCACTGAGCCACCAGGGAAGTCCCCCAAAGACCTTTTGAATTTTAAATATCCAGTCTTGGCATTTTCCACTGAAATGTCACTTACCCTGGTTTGGAGAAGGCTTTCCTTAAAGGCAGATTCTGAAAATAAAATGTAGTTGACAGAGTGGAATTTCCATAGCCCTTTCTTCTGCCCAGTGTTCTCTTCTCCCCCTAAGCGCCTGTAGCCTCCGTAGCCCTCAGATATGCTATCACGCCACTGTTACTTGGCTAAGGCTTTTAAAATTCCTATTCTGGATGTGTTGTCTCACAGGCTTAATTCTCAATTCACGCTTCTGGGGTTGACGGTTCTCACTACCCGTGCTGACAGTTGTCACTACCTGACAGTTCTCACTACCTGGTCAGTGTCATATGATTTCTTGGGAGAGAACCCATGCTACATCCACATTCCTCTGCAAGCCCTGGAGGCATTTTTCTGGCTCAGAAGGGAATCAGACTCATGAGAAGGCTGTGCCTCTCTTGCAATCAGACATTTATTTAACACATCAGGTTCCAGGCACAGCTCTAGGCACTAGAGATGGCAAACAAATTGTACAAGGTTATTGCCCTTAAAGGAATCACAGCACAGAGAGAGACAGGCAGCGTCAATTCATTATGATAAGTGCTGTGATAGAAGTAAACTCAATGGGATGATGTTCCAGAACCACTCTCAGTAGATAATTCTCTAGAAGGATTCACAGAGCTCAGAAAAGTGGTGACACTTTTAGTTCCAATATATTACAGTGAAAGGATTCAAATTAAAATCTAGGCAAAAGGTGCATAGGACAGAGTCCAGGGGAAAGCAGGCACAAGCTTCCAGGTGTCCGCTTTCATGGAATCCCATGGACCATACTTAATTCTCCCAGCAACATGGCGAGAACATGTAGGAAGTATTGCCAACCAGGGAAGTTCACCCAAGCCTTGAGGTCGAGGGTTTTTATTGGCGGTCAGTTACTTAGGCATGCAGCATCCACAACTGACCTTAGTTACTTAGTCTCCAGTCTCTACAGAGGCCACTAATATAGTGTAGCTCAAGGGGCCCAGCATAAATCATATTATTAGCATAAACTATCTGTCATGTCCCAAGGCCCCAGGTATGCAAAGACACTGTTAGTGGGCAGGATATTTTAAGGACTTAAAGTCTGTCTCCCAGGAGCCAGTCCTTTCTTCCAAATATGCAAGGCTTGAACATCTTTGTCTTTACTGCACAAATAAGGAAGCTCAGAAGAGGGGTGCCAGGCCCAGCCTGTCATGGGGGGCAGGAACAGGAGGAAGTGGTTCAGAGAAACACATCAGGAGGAGATGTTGCCTGAGCCTTAATGCCTACAAGTTTGTTGTGATGAGGTGTAGAAAGAGCTTTGGGGAGAGAGGGCTAACATAAACAAATGCTGAAAACTGTATGAAGAAAGGGAACCTGTGCTGACTGAGCATCTGTGCTAGGTACCATGCCGGGTGCTTTAAATATGCAGGAATTGCATATACTATGGACTGAGAAGCATAGCAAGAGATGAGTCTGCAGACAGGAAGACCAGACTGTGGCTGCATGCTAGAAAATGTGGACTAACAATTTTTGGAGCCATGGAAAGGTTTCAGGCAGAAGGTTGATGTGGCCAAATTGCTTATATACTTTTTTTCCTTCTTTCCTTATTTTTCTTAAAGTTATACACAGTAAAAATTACTCTCTTTGGTGTATAGTTCTAAGAGTTTTGACAAATTTAAACAGCTGTGTAACCACCACCATAATCAAAATATAGAAGTTTCATCACTCCAAAAAATTAAAGCTGCCCCTTTGTGGTCAACCCTTTCCCCCACCTCCAGTCCCTGACTAGTCTATTCTCCATCCAAATGGATTTGCCTATTCCAGAATGTCATATAAATGGAATTATATCATGTTGCCTTTTTAGGCTGGCTTCTTTCACCTTACATAAATGCATTTGAGGTTCATCTATGTTTTTCCATATATCAATAGTCGGTTTTCTCCTTTTAATTGCTGAATAGTGTTCCACTGGATAGATGTTCCACAGTTTGCTTATTAGTTCATTAACTGACATTTGAGTTGTTTCCAGTTTTTGTCTATTACAAATAAAACTTCTGTGAACATTAGCGTATGAGTCTTTGTATGGACATGAGTTTTGTTTCTCTTGGGTAAGTACCTAGGAATGAATTGTTGGGTCATTTGGTAAATGAACGTTTACCTTTATAAGAAACTACCAAACTCTTTTCCAAAGTAGCTGCATTCTCACCATCAAAGTATGCTGGTTGCCATTGCTCTGTATCCTTGTCTGCGCTTAGTATTGCCAATTTTTTAAGCCATTCTATTAGGTGTATAATATCTCATTTGGTTTTAATTTGTAGTTGCCTAATGACTGTTGATGTTGAACATCTTTCATATACTTATTTGCCATATTTATATCTTCTTTGGTGAAGTGCGTGAATCTTTTGCCCAGTTTTTATTGGGTTATTTTCTTATTATTGGGTTTTGAGAGTTCTTTATACTGTATTCTGAGTAGAAGTACTTTTTCAGATATATGATTTGCAAACATTGTTTCCAGTCTCTGGCTTGTATTTTAATTCTCTAATAGTGTCTTTTGCAAAGCAAAAATTTGTAATTTCAATGGAATGTAATTTATAGTTTTTCTTTTACGGATCATACTTTTAGTGTTATAGTCAAAAAATCTTTACCGAACCTGAGGACACAAAGAGTTTTTCCTGTGTTTTCTTTAGGAAGGTTTTATAGTTTTACATTTTATACTTAGATCTTTGATCCATTTGGAGTTAATTTTTATAAGGTTTGAGATGAGGGTGAAAGTTCTTTTTTGGCATTTGCATTTTCAAATGTTGTAGCACCATTTAGTTAAAAGACTTCTTTCTCCACTGAATTGCCTTTGTACCTTTGCCAAAACCAGCTGTCTATGTTTGTTTCTGGACTCCCTGTTCTTTTCCACTGATCTAAGGGTCTGTCCTTTTACGCATACCACATGGTCTTGATTATTGTAGCTTTATAGTATGCCTTAAAATCAGGTATGTGAATCATCTAATTCTGTTCTTCTTTTTCAATATTGCTTTAGTTATTCTATTTTTTTTTGCCTTTCCTTGTACATTTTAGAATCAGATTGTCAATATCTACAAAATATCCTCCTGCAGTTTTGACGTGGATTGTGTTGACTCTAGAGATCAATCTGGGGAGAATTAAATCTTGACAATATGGAGTCTTCCAGTTTATGAACGTTGTACATCTGTGGCTAGGAAGCCAAGCCAAGAATTCCCCACTAGATCTCACCTGCAGCACCTGTAGATTTGGGTGAATTCCTGCCTTCTAAATATTTCCAAACTATCCTAAAGCTCCTGAGCCTGCCAGAAGGTGATTTTCCTTACTAACCTGTAAGGCTGGGAACCCAATTAGCCTGACATCAGGCCACTTTTTCCAAGAGGGCTTTGTGAACATTGGCTCCAGGAAGTCAATCTGAGCTCCTTACAAGTGTCTGGTTATTTTTATTTTTATTTTTTTGCGGTATGCGGGCCTCTCACTGTTGTGGCCTCTCCCGTTGCGGAGCACAGGCTCCGGACGCGCAGGCTCGGCGGCCATGGCTCACGGGCCCAGCCGCTCCGTGGCATGTGGGATCTTCCCGGACCAGGGCACGAACCCGTGTCCCCTGCATCGGCAGGCGGACTCTCAACCACTGCGCCACCAGGGAAGCCTGGTCTGGTTATATTTGACTAAACTAGTATCATTCCCAAATATGACATTCCAGGCAAGGGTTTGGTTGCATAGCCAATGTTCCAGGTATTCCTCTTCTTAACAAGGAGGACAGATTCTCATTGAACCTATGCAAATAATTATATTGCTTTGAAAATAAGAATACTTAGTAAGAGTTTTTTAAATTCTGGAGGGGTCAGATAGGGAGAAAAAGATATTATTTACAGATGTTTCATTTAACTTTACAAAGTGTAGTCTACTAAATGGCAATTTATGAGTTAAAGATAATGTAAGAACAAAAGGGGGTTCTTGTATAGCCAAGAAATAGAACATTAAAATGAAAGATCTGATGAGAATTCATAATAAGGATAATGTAATGGATGAGGAAATTTGGTTGTTTCTGCAGGATACAAAACAAGATAATGAAGTCAATCAAAAAAATTTAGACATCATAATTATAAACATAATGATTAACCCTGTTCTCAAAGAAGGCCGTTAACGTTACATCTAACTTGTTAAAATGGATGAACATTTGCAGGGGAATCTGTACGGAGGATGCATCTTTACAGAGGAAAAAATCTTCAGATATAACATACAATAATTCTGACAAAGTTATATTATGAATATGCCAAGTATACAGTTAGAATATATCAAATATATAGAGAGAGTCAATAAGTCTGGAGCAGACCTGTATATTAATAAACATCTGTAGATTAATAAAATCTCATAAGTAAGTGATATGAATCCCTTACAAGATGCTAGATTTAAAGAAGTACAGTTGCAACCAAGTTAACATTTTAAAAATACAGTTGACCTTTGAACAATGTCAGGGTTAATCCACATACAGTTTATAGTCAGCCCTCTGTATCCGTGGTTCCTCTGCATCTGCAGATTCAACCATGCATGGACCATGTAGTAGGTAGGACCATGTAGTCCTGTAGTATTTACTACTGAAAAAAATCCATGTATAAGTGGACCTGCACATTTCAAATCCATGTTGTTCAACTATAAATGAAATTATGACTGATAACACTA